GGCTTCTGAGATAGGGGGCGCTTCGCACTCGCCGCCTCGCCGCGCGAGGGAGCGCCCATGCCCGCGCCCATGCCCATGGCCGCGCCCACGCCCGCCAACCCGTAACCCTCGCCTCGCCGGTCGCTGCGGCACTGCCTCGCGTTACCTTATCTCGTGCGGTCGTCTCACCCCCTCACCCTCCCCAGGGACTCCCCCGGGGCCCTCAATGTGTCCCAGTCGGAGCTGGTGCTGCCGCCGCCAGAATTTGCGGAAATCAAGCGGCGCCGCGCCAACAAGACAGACTTTGAAATCAACCTGCAGGGTGGGCGGGCGCGGGGGTATGCGGTGGACGCGGGGGGACCCATGTTTTGGGGCGCCCTGCCGGCGCCGCTGGGGTCGCTGGGGCTGCGGGAGGCGCGTTTTGGGAGCTTTGACCGGGGTTTGACCAGGGGTCGAGAGGGTGTTGACCGGGGTTGACCGGGGCTGGGTGGCCTTGGAAGGACGCCTGGCGCGGTCGTGCCCTGTGGCAGTTCCAGGGGGTGGGCAGCGCATCGCGGCTGCGCGGGCCCGCTGGCCACATGCCGCTGGGGCCGCATCATACGCGGGTGCGCAGACGGTGCCTCATATGTCAGCATGCGAGACGTCGCACTCCTGGCCCTTTGGGCTGCACAGCGTGCACACGGCCTCATGCCATGTTTCTTCCCGCCTACACACCCGCCTCGCCCCCCCCCCCTCACCTTGTAGGCTCTGTGGCCTCGTTCCAAGGCACGAGGTTCCTGGACGATCTGGGATCGCGGCTGCTCGTCGATTACCTCGACTGCTACCTGCTCACCGCCTACGACGTCGTGCTAACCTCGGACCCCGCCGCGCTGCCGCCGGATTACAACTGGCCGGCGCCCGGCGCCCCGCTGCGGCGCGGGAGCTTTGCGGGCGGCGGCGGAGGAGGGGGAGGGCTGTCGCGGCAGGGGCAGCAGGCGCTGATAGGGACGCTCACGGCGGCGGCCGCGGTCGCGCTGGTGCTGTTGGGTTTGGTCCTGTGGTCGGCGGCGGCGGCGCGGCGGCGGCGTGAGGTGGAGGGGCGCGGGGAGGGCGCTTCAAAGGGGTTCGCTGGCGCTCGCTTCGCGCGGCGCGGCGCAGAGGGGCCTCCCGGCACGGAGCCGCCCGCGGCGGCCGGCAAGGGCGGCGCCGCCGCGGCCGCCGGCGTGCTCTGCAGCAACCTCAGCAGCCCCCCCGCCAGCCGCAGCGCGAGCGACGCCACGGCGGCGCGGGGCGGCGGCGGCGGCGGCGCGGGGCGGCGCAGCGAGGACTCTGCCGTGCTCGGCGCGGGGGACGGGGACGGCGGCGGCGGCGGCGGCGCGGGCACGTCCCTCCGGTGGAAGCAGCTGCTGATGGCCATCAACACACGGGTGACAGACATCCACGCCAAGCGCCTCGCCGCGGGCCTGCCGGCACCGCCGTCGGACCGCTCGCGCTCGGCGGACGACCTGCCCGTGCCTGCAGAGCTCATGTCCCGCGGCGCCTCGGGCGCCTCGGCCGCGACCGCGGCGGCGGCTGCAGCGGCGGCGGATGTGCAGCGCGGCGCGGCGGAGGACGCCGCCGCCGCAGAGCGTGGCGCCGTCGCCGCCGTCGCGCCGAGCGGCGAGAGCGGGACCGTGAAGCGCAGCGCGAGCAGCCACCGCAGTGTGCTGACGAGCTCGGGGTCGTCCAGCATGCGCACGGCGCCGCGGCACGGGCAGCCGCAGCAGCTGCAGCTGCTGGGGGCGCTCGGGTCCGGCACTTTCGGTACCGTCTTCCGCGCCAGGTGGCGCGGCGCTGAGGTGGCAGTCAAGCTGGTGCGCCTGCCGGCCGCAACTGGCGCGGCGGAGCAGGGCGGCGGCGGCGGCGGCGGGGAGGGTGCGCAGCAGGCGGCGTTTGCGCGCGCGCGGGAGAGCATGGCAGTCCAAGAGGCGGCGATCAGCTCGACGATGACTCATCCCAACATCGTGGCGCTCTACTGCATCGGCCTGCGGCCCATCAACGCGCCCGACGGCGGCGGCGCGGCGGCTGCGGGCGACGCGGCCGCGGCGGAGGGTGGCGACGGCACGAGCGGCGAGCGCGTGCGGCCGGAAGACGCGAGCGGCGGCAGCGGCGGCGGCGGGAGCGGCGCCGGAGGCGGCGCGGTGGTGCTCGCCTGGGAGCTGCAGCTGAGTGAGTGGCCGGCGCGGGGGTGTAATGGGGCGGTGGCGGCTGCGGGGATGCCGCGGCGCAAGAGCGTGGGGAGGGCCACGCCGCGCCGGGGCGCTGGCGCGCGCCCCGGCGCGCGCCCGCGGCTGTGGGGACTGGCCTTCTACTCCACCTGGTTACACGCCCTCCTGGGGCGGCGTGCAAGACCCCTCCTGGCCGGAAACGCATCGCTCCGCCTGCCGCAACACACCCATCGGCATTGAAGCCCCTCCTTTATCTACACGACCACCATAACAAAAGCCTCGAACACAACCCCAGATTATAACCCCAAACATATTTCCCATCATAAACCCCTCCCAGTCATGGAGCACTGCGACCAGGGCACGCTGCGGCAGGCACTGGATGAGGGCCGGCTGCGCGACGTGACGACGGGGCTGACGTCGCTGCCGCTGGCGCTGGCCATCGCGCACGGCGTGGCGTCTGCCATGGAGTACTTGCATGAAGAGTCTGTGCTACGTGAGTCGGCCGGGGGGGGATGTTGATGCACGTACGTGCGTTGCGATGATGTGCGTGTGGGTGTTTATGGGATTGTGTGCGTGTGTGTTGGGGGGGTGCCGTGTTCAAGCCCTCAGCACCGGGAGTCTCCCCTGCAGAGTTTGACTCATCTTTTGAAGTTTTCGCGGGGACACCACTGTGTTTTAGGGCGGACGGAGGCCCGGGTGCCTGGGTTTGGATTTGAGTTGGCCGCCTTGCCTTTGCGCTCGTGCAACCCCATTCCACCCCCACCCCCACATCACCCCGTACACGTGCGCGCACGAGCCACCCAAAACACACACACACACATCCGTGTCACCCCAC